CCTCTCTGCATTCCCGTTGCAGCGCCCTGTTATGTTCTCCTCTTGGAACTGAAAATGTTACTAATCCCGTCCTCATGTGATGCTGGAATTACTGGAGCTTATACAGTATTCTTCTATTTTCAGGAGCGTCATTGGTTTAGTATTGCGTGCTCCCAAGAAGCTTTGGCAGGACGTTGACCTCCAGAATTGGAAAGCGTTAATATTTTCTTCCTCAGGAGTTTCTCTTAGTCAACTTTGACAATTCCTTTCTAAATAGAGAATGTCCAAGTTAAACAGGGGAAAAACTACAGTGCAAGTGCATTCTTTTCCTAACAATCATGCAAATATCTGATCTTGTTTATTTGAAATCGCACATTTAAAATAAAAGCCGGATCTGCGAGTTACTCGTTGGTGCAAGTGGCTTAGGATTGCTCGTGCAGGCGTGTGCTGCTTTGATTTTGCCCTGATTTTCTACTGTATGCTTACTAAACGTGTAAGTTTACGTCCTTCTTGTGTGTGCTGTGTGGCTTCCTTTTTCATCCTGTGAATAGAAACAGTGTTTTTTCAGTCACATAACTGCCCAGTGCCACAGATCCTCCAGTTGTTGAACGGTTGTACTTTCACCAAAGGCGCGTGCAGGGATCCCGGCTCTAACAAGAAGCAGTTCCTATTCGTGTAAGCAGTCCTCCATTCTGGTCATGTTTTGTTTGTTTCATGTATAAATATTTTTATTGAAATTAAAGCTCCTTTCTTTTTTGATCAGTGCAATGATAGATCACTGTAATTGAAGCAATTCACACCCTAAAAACTTTAATTAAGTCGCAAAGATGCCTGCATGCGGAAACTTAATGAACTTATCACTTTCAGGCATTGTTTTGCTTTGTCTTGTTCTCTCCCTTCTGTTTACCACTGCTCATTGCTTCATGTCTAACGTTTGACTGTCAAGTCCTAAAATGACTGGGTCTTTTATTTCTATTATGAGGCATTTAGCACCCCGTGGGGTACTTAATAATTAATCGTAACGTGATTATTTCCAGGTTTCTTACATACTCTGTTGCCAGGTCCCAGGGAGCAAACCTCGGGGACACTCAGGTCTGTTAGTGGGCATCAGGCCACCATCCTGTCACACTGGCTTCCAGTCCTCCTCCTCCTCCTTCCCAGTATTTCATGCACCTGAAGGCTAGATGGGTGCAGGGCCCCGCAGTGTGGCTTCCTGGCCATGATTTCCACCAGTTTGTCCCTAACTGAACCTGGCTGCTTAAGTGGGATTAAAGCACGGTTGGTGTTTGTAGGTGTTCTGGAAAGGTGGGCTTGTTCTCCAAGCGGGAAGGGGTGGCATTGTCTTCTCGTGACAGTGCTTCTGCATGCAAACCTGAAATGTCTCCCTTCTGCTTGAGAAAGTAGTGACCTGTTCAAGGCCTTCACTGCCTCCCTCCCAAATCTGAGACAAGAAGGAACAGGAAACAGACAAAAAAAAGTAAAATAGGAGAGAAAAACATGAGTCGAGGCCAGCCCTGCAGCAGCACCTGCTGAAGGAGGGGGTCATCTGCTCGGGCATAGTGGCAGGTCCAGCAACCTGCAAACCTCCGCTCTCCAAAGTCACCTAATTCTGCTCAGGTGCCATTTCCAGTGGAAAGAGAGCGGGTATCGAGGGAAGCAGGGAGGTGATAGCGCTGCTTCAAGCCTTCTTCCGAAACAGTAAGTATGCCAAGAAGTAATTGAGCTTGCTGGCTTGATAAGTCTTCTGGTGGTTTTGTGGGTTTGTTAAGTTTTTTAATTAGCAAATACGAACAAAAATCCTCATGGCTCAGCCAGGATCTTTGGGCTTGGGGGCAAGGCAGAGTGGAACTTAATGCTCTCGTCAGGGGAGACACATACAGCCGAACCATTTACACTGTAATGCAGTCATTATGCAGCATTGTTGTTTTTTTTCCTTCTTCTTTTGCTGTCCCATTGATTTTTATTGTCAAAAGTATAGAGAATAATTTCTAAGCTACTCTGGGGAGGGGTAGAGAGGCACTAGACACCATGTTTCACGTGGAGGAAGATAACAAACATGGGGAAATAAGCGTTAGCGTGCTACATGTGCATTAAAACATCCCGCGGGGTGGTTTTCAGCAAGTGTGCTTAACTTCTGTTTAGCAAGTGGTCTCACCTCCGTGTATGGGGAATTCAGCGGTACAAAAAACTCAGCGCAATATTCTGCACCCGTTTGGGCAGGATTTTGCAGGAAAGGTTTTTGTCCACCTTGCCCAGCATGTGAGAGCAGAGGAGAACCTCCCGAATCCGCACATCGCTAACCTGCGCGCCTTGTAACTGTTCAACAAAGCTGATATTAATCTTGGTTTCTTGGGAAAGATTGCAAGGCGGTGTTTAAATGACGTTTCTTATTAATAAAATCTTAATGCTATTATTGTTAATTCGTGTTCATGTTTAGGTATTGCAAACATAAATGTGAAGTGTGGGTTTCAGAATGCACGAGCATAATCAGCCCAATCAGTTTGATGAGACATTAGCCTTTCTTGTGATCAACTTAATCTTGTTAGTTGACTCGGAGCCAGATTTTACGCGCACACGTGAGGCTCTGCGGAATTGACAGTTGACTTTCGGAGCTTGATAGTTTGCACTGCGAGCGATAGTGATGAATGCTCTGCTTTGTTTGCTGCCTCCAATTGATTTTGACCATTCTTCCATCATTTCCTAGTTGTTCATCCAAGCAGAGACTTCTTTTCCTGGTAGCAATCCTTTTCTTGTCATAAACATATAGCTATCTGTTTTGTCAACAAACAGGGTCATTTCTTCCTTGCAAAAAATCCTTAGAGGACTAGATTTGCATTTAAACTATTGAGTCATGCACTTCCTCTCCCTACTATTATAATCGAGAGTTGCTGGGTCACCAAGCAGGTGGCTGTTTCTGACGATTAGTCATGAAAGACCTTTCCCATTCCACCCCCTGTGATTAACAGAAGAATTCCCTGGAGCACTGCGTAAGTAGGCTGAAACACGCAGGCTCAGAGTTGGTGCAGGTTTTCTTTCATCTGTTCCAAAGCAGACCTGCTGTCTGGCTTCTTTAGGATGCAGGCCTGAAAAGTGAATTCTGTAGCACCTCTAAAATGTTTTGTGTATGTATATGCATGTGGCGTAATGGATTAGTTCTGTCAACGTGGAGGAAAATATAAATAGCTGAATAGAGAGATGGAGAATCTTCCATTAAATATTATTTGAGGCTTATCAGTACTTCTGCATTTTCTTTCTAGTGGATATATACGTGTGTGTGTGTATGTGTAGGTATATAAGGCATCTGCTTTGATGATTGGGACTTGTTTTGCCTTTGCTTTTTCATTTCTTAGAAATAATATTAGTGTAAAAATGTTTCCTAGTGCCACCTTTATTCCTCCAGGCATCATTTTGGTTTTAGGCTATTGTTCCTCATGCAACTGTCCTCAGTGAGGATGGGATCCCATCCTGTGCCCGTATGCAGTCAATATATATTTAAATCTATAGGACTGACAGGTGGCTGGAGGAATGGAATAGAGGTTCCTGAAAAATGCCGTTCCTCCTTTTTTATACAACTCAGGACAGAAAAAATACCTTTCTATTACATTGACAATGGGTTTTTTCTTCTTTTTTCCTTCTGCCTTTTTTCCTAGGCCAAAAAAAAAAAGACAGAAGGACAAAAAAAAATCACCCTGCTCAAAGTTACAGACTCAGACTATGACTTGAGGCTGGGCAGCTCCGTGCTTTATTGTCTCCCTGTACCTACACGGAGCTTGAACAAACAGCTCACACTGGCGAGCCTGCTGTGAAGTGGATGCCCAGGTTAAATTGGGACCGGTTTTAATCGCAAGGGTAATTTTGAACCTCCTGTGTGAAGGCATTTTGCCCAAAGGGTTTGATAATGCAACACCCTGAACAGGTAATGCAAATGGCATTAGTGCAAAAGTCACTGCTTCCACCCTTTTTGCCTGGATTTTGTCCTGGATTTGGCTCTAGCAGGAGGGGTCTGTGAACAAGGTTTCTACAAGGAAGCAGTGACTTCTTCTGGTTTTATTTGTTTAATTTTTGCTAAGTATGCATGTCAGTGGTTCCAGAAAACATTTTCAAGCAGGGATAAAAATCAAGGCTTAATTTTTCATCCTTGTAACCTCATAATGATGTTCCTACTAGTTCCTGCTGTTAAATATTTATCACCTGTGTGTTTTCTCTGGTTCCCAACTGCACTGACAACAGGTTTTTAATCACCAAACCACAGCTCAGCTACACTGAAAGCAAAAAAAAAAAAAAAAGGGAAAAAAAAAAAAAGAAAATTGAAATGCAAAGGACTGTTAAAGATAAAAGGCTGCTAAAGGGAATCAGTGTATTAGTGCTCCCGCGCAGCAGCCGATGGTGCTGATCAATACCTGGTGCCACCGCTCGGCTCACGAGGAGTCAGCTCGTCCCTTAATAGCAAGTTTCTTGAATTCAGTGTGCAAGGAGAGAAGAGAGAGGGAGTTGCATTTTTGCAGTGCCTGGCCTCTGAAGTGGAGGAAAAGGAGAGAGGTGGAAGGAGGAATTTAATTTAATTAAAGCACTGTGTGACTAACATACAGCTATTACAAGACACTTCCTTATGCGAAAGGAACATGGGTTGCAAGGGCATCAGTAACAAGTCTCCTAAAGGGAAGGACTGGCTTCTAACATAATTGAAGGCAGTGATTATTTAGGGCAGTAATTCTTCATAAATACCTGAAATAGAACTAGCGGCGTTACAAGTTGCTGGAGTTTTCTCTGGGCGTGTCTTCACGTCACCTTTGCCCCCTTACCAGCCTCGCAGCCTGTGGAGACGGTTTTGCTGCTTTTGATGATGGCTGCCACAGCAGCCTCCCACTGCCCCGTGATCCGCCCAGGTCCCACCAACCCACCTTCCAAGCTGATGTTCCCTTTGTTTCTCTGGCACACAGCAACATCCTAATGAACCGCCTGTCCTGATGAGGAAGAAAACCATTAAACTCCCTTTAATTGAGTTCTTTCTGTCTTGGCAGATCTTGAGAACTTCAAAACCAGAACGAGAAGCACGGTGTCCGTCCGCCAGGGCCAGGGCATGGTGCTGCTGTGTGGACCACCGCCGCATTCTGGAGGTAAAGCGGTTTCCTTCTGTGGCTTTCAGCACTCTGCAGCAGTTTGCAAGGGTTTTGCTCTCAGGGAGTGTTTCAGGAGGTTTAAAAGGGCACACCTTCAAGGAGGAGGCTGTGGCGGTGCCAACCAGACCGCTTGGGTTGCGTAGGGTGGTCCTGTTGGCTAAACACTCTGAGAGAGCTCCGGCTGGGCGTAAGCGCCGAAAAAGCCTAATTTTACTGCATACAAGTGTGCATTTGAGAGATGGACGGATGCAAACAAAAGTACTATGTGCATACACAGAAGACATGGCCAAGATCTTGTGCAACTTCTGGAAGCCTTTTGGTATGTGGCCTGGCTGTGTCTTCTGCAAAAAAAAATTGAAGGTTGCTGGCAGAGCCACTTTGGTGCATCATCTTTTCATTACTTTATTTTTATTTTTTTTTCCCAAACACTTATTGTCACTATTTTTGTCTCCTGGGTAGTCAGGATCTGTTAGCGCTTGTCCACATCCCATATGGTGATTTGTTTCTGGAATGGCAATACGTATTCTTCCTACTGTTCTCATGGGACGGAGGGGCAAGGGAGAGTGTTGTAGAAGAGGAGGCAATAACGTGCCAGCAAGTTATGTAGGGATGCTGAAGACACCACTGTGTTCTCTGCTGGTGTTCACACCTACACCTAGTTTTCTGGAAACTGTAATCTGAAGATCCAGACAGAATGACGGAGAAGCTCTGCTACCGAAAGTCCCTGAAGGTTTGCCACTGTGTGCACTATTGTTTTTCTGTGGTGATACATTTAAATCCATTATTATTACAGAGACAGGTACTAACTGTAACAGGGCTCATTGAGTGTCTAGAAATACTGTGCAGAAAAGGACATAACCCGTGTTTGACAGTCGCTGCTATCTCTGACGCCTCAAAAGGAGGCAGGTTGCTGATTCTCATGGAGAAATTGAAATCTGTAGTAGCAGACAGGCAGAAAAAAAACGGCCTGTGGTGTTAGAGTTAGGTCTTATCAACATGTACTCTGTAGAGCGTACTATAGTTGTGTTATAAACTGATGGATCCTCTCTTAAAATCTCGTCCTTTTTGCACCTGTCACATGTTATACTGGCTGATTAGAACAGGGGCAACGACGTGCATATGCCTGTATAGTTATGGAAACTGGCCCCTGTGGCAGCTACTGGATCTGGCCCACCCCATGCTGGGCCACAGAAGAGCTGTGCAGGGAACTTGGCGTTGCGTTGCCCCTGTTCCTTGGTTGCCGGCCCCACCTTGGGTTTCACACCGTGCTTGAGCAGGTAGGAATGTGCTGCAGACACCTGCCCGGCTTGTCAGGCATCGCCTGGGCTTCAGCAGGGGCTTTAGGTTTGAGATCTAGCTGAGCGGCGCTGGTTCAGCCCTGAATCCTTCAGGCTTTTGTGTCGCGCTCTTCTGTATTCCCTGGGCGTTTTCCATAACCTACGTTGACCTGGAGAGAGGAGGGTCGATGGTCCCGTGCACCCATCCAGGGGAGGGAGGGTCAGGCGGGAAAGGAGGTCAGCTCTCATTGACACGCAGAGTATTTACAACCATCTACTCTAGATTTTCTGAACATCTCCACTGTGCGGTGAGAAGGAAATTGTGGTACGTTTGTTCAAGAGATTCAGGGGAAAGTTTTGGTCTGAGTGTATGTGCTGGGGGTACAAAATCATTCCAGAAAGGTGCTGGCATTATTTCCAGTTTGAGTTCAGTATGTTAGAAAGAGCATCTTACAGTGACTCGGAGGTAAGCGCGTTTCTGGTGCCCAGAAAGGCAGAAAACTGAAGGGTAATTATTTCCCTCAATTATTTGGATGAGAGATGACTTCCTACATGACCACTATCTGTGACCTGCTCTGTTCCAGCTAGAAAATTATCTTAATTGTAGCCAGATCCACAATTAGTCTAAATTGATACTATTAGAATTTTGTAACTAAGTTGGGCTGGGGTTGTGCCGGTTGTTGTTTGCTGCTTTGTGCAGAAAGGATTCAATGGAAAGTCAAAATAGGTCCGGTTAATTCAAACAGACCCTTGTTCTGCAGGAATTAATCTCTGCGGCAATATTTTTATTTTTTTTTTTGCTTTTCCTTCCTCCTTTTCCTTCCTTCTAAGGTTCGAAATAAGGATGAGTTTTGAAAGTCACAACTGCAAAGTTAATGCTTTTCAGTCGTGTGCATCGTGTTTCCGTTAGCCCCCTGCACGTCTCCCAGTGTGATCGAAGCTATTTGGTCCCTAGCAGTCACTGCACAGTTACCACAGCTATCTCCTGTTCCAGCTCTGGGCAGATGGAGGTTCATAAGAGAATATCAGATATCGCTGGGAAGTAGCTGCCCGTCGGAAAACCGCCGTGTTTTATGGGCAGCTTCCATCCCCAGGGTCCAAGGCAGTGTTTGCAAAGCAAAGCTGTAGGGATCGCTTCCTTCCCCTGCCCGACACGATGTCCTGCCGCTGGGATATAACATTGCAAGTGTTTAACGTTGTAGAGCAATGGTGAAAAACGTTCGGGTTGGAAGTGAAAAAAAAAAGTATCTCGTTGAAAGCGCGAGTGGCGTTAAGATAGAGAAAATGCAATTACTTATTTTGGAATTTGATTAGGACAGCAAACCTAACTTCATCATCCTTGAGAAGAGTGCCTGGGGACATTAATGACCATGGCTGAAGCATAGAACTGTCTGAGGGGGAAAAAAACCCACAGAAATCTGCCTTTTTTTTTTTTTTTAATTAATTTTTTACTTTAGTTTCTGTTCTGCATTGAGAAGGACACTTAAAAGCAAAACTATTCAATCTTCAAGTAGCTGTTGCTCTGAAGAGGCGAGGCACAAATTTCGATGCCCTTTTCCAGTCAGAAAAATACTAAATTAGAAGGGAATCATTTCCTATCCGCTGTTGTATCCTTGGTCATATTGGTCTTAAAAATTGTGGATTTTACTAAAAAAAAAGGTCGATCTGCATCCAGAACTTTGTCCTTGCAACTGTGGTTCATTCTAATCCTTTGCTACTTGGAAACATCCATATTTAAAGAGCTGGCAGCTGAAAGTGAAATTATATTGGCCTACATACATTAGTTGTTTAGAGGCGTTTTTTGCTTCTTAATGATGCCAAATAGAGAGCTTCCCAGTATTCAGATGTTGAAAGAAATTAATCCTGAAAATGAGTCCAAATGATTAACAAATATTTTCAGCATCATAAAACGAGCTGCGTACAGCTTGCACAGAAAAATTTGGACATCACCGTGTATTGTCCCAGATTTTAGTTCAAGATGAGTTGGAGATTCAGCACATGAGTCCAGGCTCCCCCCCCCGGCCCCAGGTCCCCACGATGAAAATGAAATGTGGGTTTCTTGCAGCATGGTTTCAGCAGGGAGTCGCTGTTTTGTCAGGTCAGTGCATCCTGGTGTTACATTTTGTTAAGCAGCATAATGATGCGATTGCCTCCTGTGACGAAGTGCTTGCTGACTGCTGGAAATTTGGAAAATAAGTGTTCATCTGGAGCTCAGGAAGCCGCTGGACTGAAAACCAGAATAAATGCAAATCAAACATTCGCCTCTGTCATATTTTCTGCTCTTGGAGCAGTGGGTGCCTGAGTCCCCAAAGCCAGTCCTGCTATATTTATGGTGGCTTGTCTGTTAGAAGTTTTTGGTTCTCTTCCTTTTTTGTTGGTTTTTTTTGTTTGGTTGGTTGGTTGGTTTTGGGGGTTTTTTTTTGCCTTCCCCATTTGTTCACTTGCATGCGCTACATCAGTGTAAGAACTAAGAAAAACCTGCCTGGGTGATTAGCATTTTTCTGAGGGTTTTCCCTCATTATTTTCACGGGTTTTTTAATCAAAAGCTTAATAATGGCCATGTGTCAACCATTCTACCTATGAACCTCTAGGGAAAAAGTAATGTAAGAGTGAACATTGCTGTGGGAATATGGCATTTGGGCCCGTCACACCACCATGAGTGGCTGTAGGTATTTAAGTGGACAAGAAAGAACAGTCGAAGATCCTAAAAGTAGCTAAAATTTGGCTTTAATTTTATGGCAACCAACACACGAGGGTCCTCATTGCAGCCGCCACTGCAGCATTAACTGGGAAGCCCCCAGTAACTGAATCGCCACAACGGGTTTGGAAACGGGAGGAACATCAAAAAGTTTTCGTTACTTCTTTGATTCGACTAGTTAGGCTATCTCAGCCTGTCTTAGGGTGAGCTCTGTAATTTGGCTGCCATAAAACAACGCTATATTGCTTTACATTTTCAAAGCCCTGCTAGATCAATACCGTCTGCTGGCACTTCG